ATTGTAAGCTGCATCATACACCCGTTTCGGATTCACAAGTTCATACATGAAATATGATTTGAAAGCTAGGCTTTTTTTCAGTTTCACATGAATAGTGAATGAATAATTTATATTGCTTGGAAGACAGTTTACGGTCTTTAGCAAGTTATTGGGTACGTTGACAATGAATCCTTTTATCTCTAACTGGTGATCAGCTCACAGTTTTCGTATTTGCTTGAAAGGGGTTCGGCGAGTCACCATTCGCTCTTCGGTAGGGTTCAAATCTCTCAGCCACTTTGGAACTTCATGCTTGCTTTTACGAACAGAATCCTTTCGTTTTTCCGTTTGTGTGTAACATTCTAGGTATTCCCGTTCACTCTGTTTGGCCTTTTCAGGCTTGGTAAGTTTAGGCCTTGGCACCGTTTTTTTTTCTTGCTTCAACTCTAACTTTTGGGTCCGTGTCAATCAGTTTTTGACCCTCTTTATTTGTGATATTCACCTGAATTAGTATTGAAAACGATCCAGTTTGAACTGTAGGTTAGAATTTCTGATTCTTAGTTAAAATAATAGAAACAAAAATGTCGTTCAAGTGATGAAATTCTCTTTTATTCACAGTTCAAGATGTATTTCTCTCTGGTCCCATATCTCAAAAATAAACTCACCAACCTAATCCATAAGAAAATTAAAAGTGTAAAAAAGGAATTCTAAAAAAATTATCAAACAGCAGCGGTTGCCATAGCAACGCATGCGCACTGTTTACTATTACTCTTGATTATTGTAGTTGAAAAGTGAGAACGCCATGAAATCAAAATCAAGACCCATTTTGCCAATGGGCAATAAGCATCATTGACGTTAATTAGAGTATGGTAATTTTTTACGTGTTTCATAAACAAATTAATATCTTTTCCCCTCCATTGTGGATTTTTAATACATTACTTACTTTTATTTACTAAGAAAGTTTTTTTTTTATTTCCAATGAGCTGCACAATCGGTCTTGCCGATGAGCAGACCTAGTGCGTTCTCCAGATGTGGTATCCACTCTTTCAGGACCACCACAATGGGTGAGATGCCGTTGATCACGTTATTTTGGACGTCTAGTTTCTGCCACACTAGATGGCAGCACCGAGACTCTATTTGGATGCTAAAGTGCACTAGGAATTTAATTTTGCCGGAAATGCCAAGAGCCAATAAGGCACTCCAGGGATCTTTTACATGCCGCATAATCATACGACATGGCCGCTGAGGATTTTCTGCATCACGAAAATCCCGTGTCTGGGCCGGGGATCGAACCCGCAGACTTGGGCTCAGAAAGCCGACGACAAACCAACTGCGACTAAGAAAGTTATTTGAGCATTATTGTCTTCAAAAATGGTATGGCGTTTTTTACTTTGCTCTAAAATAATACATTCTTAAATAGTACAGTCACTTCATTAATTTCTTTATAGTACGAAACTTATAGATTTATTTTTTAATTTTAGTTAGTTCTCATTAGCAAAATAAATTGAAATAAGAGTTTGGCGAATTTTTTAGCCTCTCTTAAATGAATTAGTACTATTTCTCTATTCATACCATACTACGAAATCGCTGTCATACTACGAAAATTTGTATTGAAAAACCTGGCTTACTGAATTTATCCCATTTCCATATACAGAAACAAAAGAAAAACAGTTTTTCCTAACAAAACGTCTATTAGAATTCATAATTTATCTGCTTTTTGTATTGTTTTGTCATTTCATAGTAAATATAAAAATAAAATCCAGCTCTTAGAATTTTGTTAATTAATGAAATTCATATCAAAAATATAATAAACACTTAACAAACATCTTGAAAACAAGTAAGCATATTTTTGGAAAAAATCTGCTTTTGCAGCTATTAGAAACTACTTTAATGACATGTCTCATTAAATGGTGAAACCAAAACTAAACTGATAATCCAAGAATCATAAGAATTTTCCGTCTCATTAAACTTCAGTATCAATGTGCACTAATTGCTTAGAAAAATAATGAGTTATTAAACTCTTACAATAAACAGAATTTCTGATAAGCAGAAGAGTGAGAAGGACGAATCATTCTTTTTATAACAATAAGTCATTGATTTTGGGCAAGTATATAATGAATATCAAATCATTATTTATGAAAAAAAGTTAATAAAAGCATGTAAACATAGAGAAAAAGTCATAAAAATGCTTTTGTACAACGTGTCATAAGCAGTTCTCATTGTTATTGAAATACCGAGTTAGAAATAGGACATTACAAAAAAAAAACCTTTGAATGTTTTATATTCAAATTTTTTTAATGATTTTTATAACCTTGCAGTTTAAAAACATGCAACTGAATTATTAATTTAAAAGAATTAGTTCACTAATAAGGAGAGAAAAAACAGTAAAATAACAAATAAACAAGAAATTTTGTCAAGAGTAAGAAAACATAATCATTAAGGCTCGTTAATTAATATTTAAGCAAGTAAATACAAAAATACTATAATGATGAAGGAATCCACTGAATAATGTAGGATTAAAAACATAAAAACCTGTTTGATTGATGAATGAATAAAGAGATGAGATGAAAGGTGATTTTTAATAACAAATCCCAGTTTTATTAGACAATCAAACTGATTATGATGTTTATCACTTCACCTTCATACTAACATCCATTCATAAGTTGCTATTTTAGAGTTTGAAAGGAAACGTAACAAAATTTTTTTCTGAAGGAGTGCGAAATTAAAGTTTTCACAAAGTCAAAATATTGTTGATGTTGTCGCCAGCCATTAAGACAGAAGGGATGCGATTGCTCTTGTTTTCTAGTGGTTTAACTTATGGCCAAGAATTTGACTTCTGCCACGCAGAGAAATTGACTTATTCTATCACAATCTAAGATCTTAGGCTTTCGACCATTCCTGTCTATATGAATAATGTACTCAATTCTTAAAGTTTTATCTACTTCAGGTCGAATTTTTTTATTTGTTTTCATTGTTAACGCTACTATGCTAATGTGTTAACTTGAGCTACACTAATGTTTTAGTAGTAATAGTTTGGTCTTCATTCGGATTCTAAACATTCAACTAATCACCTGAAGCAGCTAACGGCTGAAAGTTTAGAATTAACCTTTAACGATGATCCCCAAAGCAGTACTGGGGCATGCAAGCACTACAATTTAGATTAGTGAGCAGATGGTAGTAGAAATCACCCAGCTTTCACACTACACTTCCCAACCACCCAAACGTGAGTGAATTTTTCTGACTCTGAAACTACCGAATACTTTATATTACAGTGGATTTCCAGTCATGAAGACAAAATTTGAAAAAGTACATTCCGATGACATAACCAACCACTAACATTAAGAATCGAGCCTCGGTCGAAGATGTGCTAGGCGCATGCTTTACCCACCAAATCGACTAATCAGCTTGTTTACGTGCTATTATGCTTTTATGGCTGAGATTTTTCAATTACTTTATTTCATGTACCACAGACTTTCTCTGTCGCAGTCCACAACTTATAGTCTCAAGGCCAAATCGACCTAACGATATTATCTACTTTCATCCGTAAAACTGCACTCTTCTGTACATAAGCAACTTAAAAGCTCTTGTCAAATTAAAGCAGGGTATCGAACCTGCGTATTTATATGCTTCATTGCATTCGAAAAAAGGATGGGGCCTCCCTGGCTGAGCGGTATTGCCCGCCAAACGCTGTGGATCATGGAGATAGTGGATTCGAATCCCACTGTTACCCTAGATGTATCTTTGTGCTATTTTTTTTCTGTATTGTGCTATCTATCCTTCGACTTGACAAAGGTTTATAAGCCTAATTCAGCACACAAGCCTGCAAATGTATGCTGTACCACTAAATAAAAGAAAAAGGTAATATCCTTTGGCCACCGAGTTTAATGATTATTAATTTGTCTGTGTTCAACTATTTTTTATGGATCTTAAAGGAAGTGAATAACCTGGTTTTCTATAAAGGTAGTCGAAAGAGCGCTATTGTGAACTGTTTATTCTTCTTCTTCTTAAGCGCAACAGCCTTTCACAGGCCAAGGCTGACTCGCAGATTTTCCTCCATCTGGCCCTGTCCGGTGCGACGGCCCGCCATCTGTTGACTCCCAATAGCTTGATGTCCTTTTCAACGTCGTCTATCCATCTTGTAGGTGGTCGTCCCCTACGTCTCGTCCCTTCAATTGTGGAAAAAGTCACTTTTTTGGCAGGGACGGCATCAGAATTTCTGAAGAGGTGGCCCAGCCACCTAATGCGTGATGCTTTAATAGTTCTCACAATGTCGGTCCCACCGAATTTGTCATATTTTTTGTAAATTTCGTGGTTGTAAAGAATTCTCCTTACGTTATTCTCTTGAAGAGATCCAAAGATTTTCCTCAAAATTTTTCTTTCAAAAATTAGCAGTTTTTCCTCCTCTATTTTGCTTAGGGTCCAGCACTCACTTCCATACGTAGCTATAGGCCTGATTAAAGTTTTGTAGATGTTTAACTTTGTCTGAACTGTTTATTACTTTTTTTAAATTTGTTTTAATTGTTTAGTCTGGGGCCTCCTGGCCGAGCGGTATCGTCGGTCCAAACGCTCTGTTAAGCGTGGAGGTAGCGGGTTCGAATCCCGCCGTAATTCTTTGTGATGTCTTTCTCTGAATTGTTCTATCTGTACTTTCTACTTGACAATGACTTATAAGACTATATTGAGCACACAAGTCAACAAATGTATGTAATTTCAATAATAAAAACCTTGTTTAGTCTCTTGTTTTTACCAAAAAAGGTTAGTTCGGTTTAGTTTATATAAGACCTGAGAATTGTCATTGATAAATATTTTAAGGAGTTTTTTTCCTAGAAAATTATAAAGAAATGAACTTCAGTGTCATAGTAATTAGTATTAATAATATATATTCCAGTTAATATTAATGGAAATAAATTCTGTAATTCTATTTTTGTTAAAAATGTATATTTAATATCATTAGAGCCTAGTAATTTATCAATATTTTACTATCAGAAACCTCAATTTAACTGAATTATTAAACATATTGATTTAAGTTTGCATTTTATTTTTAAAACATGGTCTTATTATTAATTCATATATTCCTACAATATGAATATAATCTTCTTTAAATAATGGCAGAAATTCTGTTTTTACTGAAAAGAAAATGCTTTTAAAAGTAGTTAACTCATATATCAGCTATAAAATTATTCCCTAAAAAAATTTAAGCCTATTTATTTTTTTAATTCTTTTAATAGTTCATTCAATTTTGAATTTGAATTTTTAGAATTTTGCGTTTATTCCCCATTTATCTACTGAAATAAAATTCATTAGACTAAAATAGTGAGATTTATTTGCTAGAAAACTATCTACAAATTTACTTCAATAAAATTTCGCACTTTTTTTTATAATTTTTAATTTTAATTACGAGTCTAGCAACAAAAATACCATTTATACTTTTACATAGACAATCGCTTTATAATAGTGTAAAAGAATTTTTCAAGTAATATATTTACTATATATTATGCAATATATTGGAAACTGGGTCTCTGGGAAATATTTATCAATTGACAATTCTTTTAAATAATTATAAAACTTGACGATTCTCAATTATCATGTGAATCTTTATCAATATGTAAATTTAACATTTTAAGCTTTTCTTAAAGAGTGTTAAGTAGAAAGGTTATAAGATTTAAATATTGCAATTTTTGAAGATGTTATAGCTACGTATCGATTTCTTAAAATTTAGAATTCTTTCAACAATTAGATAAATGGTGAAGGTTTAATCCAGGCTGATGCATGAAATTATCCAATTAAGGTAATACCCTACTTCTGTTACTCTACTAGTGTGACGTTTACAATTAAATCAATCACTTTACGCAAGTTTATTTTTATATATTTTTGCATTAATAAATTTATATTAAAACGTGGAAGTTTATTAGCATATTTGTCTTACGTTTGACAAAGATATAAAATTTTCTAGTTTTTTTTCGCTCCTGTTTTAAATTCAGTTTCAGTTTCCGCACTAAATTTTAACTTTTTAGGTAAATTACACTAAAATAAATTATTGAATCTTAAGAAAAAACTAATATATCGACTAGAGAATTATTATAATAAATGCTGAACATTACTGCTAAAAATTAATATATTTTAATAAATCACTAGGCTTCTGAAGCCACGCTTTAAAAACGATTTTATTTTAAAAGTAACAAATTAGTGTCCAAGAAAAAAAAGAATTTTCGAATTTAAAGAATTTTCGTGTACATTCACTCGAAGTAAAAAACAAAAGAACAGCCAAGCTTTTTTATAAAAAAAACTTCTAATATTTTCTTATTACCAAACAAGATTATAAAATATTGTTGAAAATAAAAGATTCCAAAATTTCCAGAAATGTTCTTACTTTGTTGCTGCAAAATATACAGGGTGGCCGAAAAATAAGGAAATGATAAAATATCTCAATATAAATCTGATAAAAATCTCATTAAACATTAATCTAAATAAAAGAACATTTTTTCGTTGCAGATAAGTATACGCTGTGGAAAAATTGTTAATTTTTAAATTCGGGAATTTTGTAGTTAAAAAAAACTACCCCCAAAACGAAATGAAAAATCTCATCAAACAACTCAATAAAATAAATATGAGATAGAAAACCTATTTTACAACATGCATGTCTCATGATGCGAGGGGGTTAGTTCCGTGTCCTTAAATTTTTTTCAAAATGTCAATCAAGTCTATTTTTTTCTTCTTCGATTCTCCAAGTAATTCTTGAGACCTCTGATTTAAACAGTAGGTACCTATCTAATTTTCAATTTTGCGATTAAAGCACCCCTATGCATTAAAATGCAAAAGCTTGTAGGTAAAACGGCAAGAGTATTCCTATCCATGGTCATCAACTATTAAAGATATTTTAATTGAGTACGATATTTTAATGTTGAGTAAGATATTTTAATTCCGGTCTATGCGATCCGGAATCAAAATTCGCATCGACCAGCTTTCGCTGGGATTCAAACTTGGATCATCAAACTGGAAGATAATCGTTCTATCTGCTTGGTTGAATCTTTTCTACAATTGTTTTTTTTTAAATTTAAAATTAATTTATTTTTCAGGTAATGGACAAACCTGAATCTTCTGCTTCTTCCGCTGATGAAGAAAAGAAAAGAAATCCTGAAGAAAATAAATCTGTTGAAGCATCTAAGCTGGATGAAAACAAAGTAAACCCCTAAGCAGAAAGCAAACCTGGCCCGTCATCTCAACGAGTTGGAGCCGAGCTGGAACAATTTTCTGAACTCATAAACCCTCTTCAAGCACAGCATACTGTAGAAAACTCAGAATCTGCAACTTCTGAAGACGCATCGGCTAGTTTCGGAATTCCAACTACTAGTCAAGTAGCACATAGTTCTGAACCATTGACTTTTCGGCAATTTTTCAATCGAAGCTGTCTTGTAGCTCTTGATTTGTTCAAACTTGGTATTTCTTTATATATAATCACAGTGCTCTGTATCCCATATGTACTATACAGTTTGTTTAAATATGCAACTGGGTTTGGCAAAAGATCCTAATCGTAGCATGTACTATCTATTTCGTGTTTTGTTACAAAAACTTATATACTTTGATGTGTTTATAAATAAAATCCTGATTTTGTTAGTTATCTGAGTATGCCATTTTTAATTGTTCAGAAGATCTTTATGCATACCACTAGTTGATTAGGTAACAAAAGTCTGAACGCGAAAATTAAAAAAAAAGTTTTGAAATTTGTTTAAAATATTATTTCGAGGAAAGTTCCTGGATGACACATTAAAATTCTCGATGGTTTAGTTTTGTAAAGCACGTGTGGTATATTTTATATTTTAAAAGTTATATTTTTTCGGTAGTTAATATCAAAAACCTACTGGTTATATCGATAAAACTAAATTTCGAATCCCAGTAGTGGCTTGTAGATTTGAAATCTGCTCCTGGCTCGCATCGACCACAGCGCTGACATAAATTATCTTCAGTGTAGAACTGCTTTATTTTGATTTAAAAAACCTTTTACCCCTTAGGCTAACCAGGGGAGATTTTCGTGGTTTTCTTTTCCACGTAACGTAAATGCTGGTTAGTTCCATCAAAGAGTCCTAAGGCTAGTTTGTCCCAATGCTTGATCCAGGATTTCCCTTGTATTCTGGGTTGGGTTCAAAATTACATGGCTACGGAGTTGAACATTAGAAGTCATAAAAAATAAATTTGGTCTGTTGTTTGGTTTGATTGTCGTAAAATCAAAAATGATTGACTGTTCAATGTCTCTAATAAAATAAAATTTCTACCAGAAAAATTTTAATTTTCTGTTGAATTAATAGTTTAAGCAATACTAAGAGCTGTAAAGGAATATGATAGCGAAAAATAAATATGGCTTAAAATATATGTACCAAATAAACAAAGAACTGCTTTCTTACGAAAATAAGAATCATTTTTTCGAAATATTTTAAAATTAGAGGGTTTGAACAACGAATTTCTAAAAAATTTTCTTTAGCAGTTCCACAATAAATATAGCACTTACTAAAATTAGTTTTTCAAGAATATAATTTTGAGCACATTTATGTCCAAAACTTTTTTTGAAACCAAACAGTTGCATGCCATTCTTATAGGAAATCATGCCTGCTTCGTTTTGTGTAGTTCACTGTTTACTGAGATTATAGCCATGTTGTTTGAAATTTTTTTCTCCAAATTTTATTGTTTTTGCAGTATTAAATTAAAACATAAAAACTAAGCAAAATAATTTTAATTATCCTCAGCATAACTATCACTATAATTTATTAGACTTCAATTTTATTCTATTTCCTCCAAAGAATATCAGAGTTCTTAAAAAAACTTCTATTCATTTATTTTGTGGACTATAAAAAATTATTTCTCAATCGCACTTTAATTTCTAAGCTATCAATCTAAGGATGGTGTCTACTGATTTCTACTTGGTATTATATATTTTCAGAAAAATCTGACAAGTATGAAAAAAATTTAATCGTAGACTGTTTCGAGGCCGATAAATTTTTAAACCTGTTTATGAATTGATTTGCTGAATTGCCAACTTTACCCAATTCACCGCATCTCAGATCAATTTCACTAATATCTCTCATTGACTCTTATGACTTAATGATTAAATTAATCGAAAAATTTAAATGCTTAATTGTTAAAATTTCTCTCGCTGCCTGAAAAGATATGAAGTAAAATTATAACTACAATTTAAAAAACGTTAAAGAATTTGAATTTTGAAACCTAAACAACGCATCTAAAATTAAGAATTGGGTGCCTATCCTATTATATGTAAACTCTCGAAAACACATTGAAATATATAAAATAAAATTTAAGAACAGTTATGAAAAAAACTTTTCAGTTATAGGCTTTTAAAATCAGGAGTAAATAATTATCATAACCAACCATGTGTGAATATCTAAAAATTGAACAAGCAATTAAAAAATTACATTTAAAAACACTAAAACAAGTTCGTCAGAATAATGCTTACGGCGATTTACACATGCTACTTTTTGACGCGTTGATCAACATTAGGATTTCCTATCTCCAGAATAACATACCAGCCTCCGGTACCATGGTTTAGGTGAATCTTGCAATTTTTCCCTGAGTCAAAACGTCTCTTAAGAAGTTAGAATATACTGGATTGGAGAAAAGGTATGATTTCAAAATACCTTTGTAACGATGAAGGGGAAAGATAAGGGATGGAGGAAATTGAGTAACTTAGAGACGACTATTCTGTTTGTTAAGAGCATAGTTCTATAACTAGAATATTCATTTATGATTTTTAGGAACTTCAAATTACGATCCTATAACTTTTTTTGTCACTTAAAAATCTTAAATTTTGTTTTATTATAATATTTCCTTCCAGTCATATTCCAATAAAGCACCCGTATGATACTCGCTTACAAGCTTTGAGATTCCTTGTTGATTTAAAAAAGAACCTGTCATCTTCAATTTTTCTTTAAAAAATCTGTAACTCGATCACCAAAACTATTAAAACCTTTATTAGTATTCCCCTTCAGATCTATGTCTAAATTGAGGAAGTAGCCTAAGAAAAATTGCGATAACATTTCTTCAGATCATCCTCATTCTTTATTCAAATTACATACATTTGCTGGCTTGTGTGCTCAACTTTAGGCTTATAAGCCTTTGTCAACTAGAAGGACAGATAGCACAATTCAGAGAAAGACACCACGAAGATACAGCCAGGGTAACAACGGGATTCGAACCCGCTACCTCCACGCTTTGCACAGAGTTTTGCGGGTGATACCCTGGGCCAGGGAGGCCCCGGATCATCCTCAGGGATGTTTCTCAGATCATCGCCAATAGCCCATTGTACACTTCTGGTGAGAAGTAAGTAAGCTACCTACCTACCTTTATTAGCATAAATTAGATCCACAGAGGACTGATCGTAAAGACACGGTTTCTAGTAGAACACGAAAGTCAAGCAGTAAGCGGGTGGGTGACCACTTTTATCAGCCTGCGTAGGGACTGAGTGTGTGCGGTATCGGTCCTAATTAAACTGTTTTGGATCATCCTTAGAGACGTTTACCAGACCATCGCCACTAACATACTGTGCAGCTCTAGTGCGACGTGAAAAAAGTACCTACCTACCTACCTACTACCTAAATTATCCCCTATTTCTATTAAGAGCTTAAGAGCTATTTACTTGCAAACGTTGCTTTCAATTTCACTAGAGGTTCTTTGGTGTCTCCTATGTACGAAAGTACAAACTTCTCTGTCATGATCGCACATATAATTGTCTTAACATCTTCGTCCCGCAGTGGACTGATCGTTAAGACACGGTTCCCAGCAGATCACCGAATCAAGCATCACTGACTGCAGTCAGTGTGCTGGTGGATGACCACTTGGATCAGCCTGCTTTGTTCCCGAGGGTGTGTGATATCCTGAGGGTGTGTGATATCGGTCCTCTTTAAACTGTTTTACAGAAAAGTGCTCAAATTCGCGTGCAGATCGCCGGGCTACCAAAACGGAGGAGCCATCCCCTCTGCAGAGGATCAAAATTGTGATGGCATGTCTTCGTATCATCCTTAGCGATGTTTCCCAAACTGTCGCCAATAGCCCATTATGCAGCTCTAGTGTTGGACCGCACAACCGTCCCGCAGTGGACTGATCGTTAAGACACGGTTCCCAGCAGATCACCGAAGTCAAGCATCACTGACTGAGGTCAGTGTGCGGGCGGGTGACCACTTGGATCAGTGTGAGTAGGGACCGAGGGTGTGCGGTATTGGTCCTCGTTAAACTGTTCTACCGTAAAGTGCTCGACTTCGCGTGCAGGTCGTCGGGCTACCGAAGCGGGGGTGCCATCCCCTCCGCAGAGGATCAAAATTGTGATGGCATGTCTTCGGATCATCCTCCGGGATGTTTCCCAGACCGTCGCCAATAGCCCATTGGGCAGCTCTAGTGCGACGTAAATGAACAAATCAAATCAAATCAAATTGACCGCACAACCAGGAAAGTCTCTCCAACTTCAAGCTCTACATTTTTCTTGCAAATTGAAGGGAAGTGAAAATTATGATTCACTATTATAAATAAGCAGAAAAACACTTTTGAACTCCGAAATTATTTTATGACCTTGTAATTTTGTTTTTACAATTTTAGATTTTTACCTTTATAGCCAGGGTAAGTTAATATTTAGTTCAAAATTATTATCGTACAATAATAAGTAGAAATTAAAGATTCAATAATTAGCTTTTTGCAAGAAATTAAAGTTATAGTTGAAATTGTAAGCAGTAAATAAAATCAGTGCTATCAAACTATTTATGTTGATGTATCAGATAAACAATTTAATAGTGTCTTGAGCTGTATGTGGTGCTTTCCAAACATGCAAAGAAAATAGTTAATGAAATGCAAAATTTTATTCTGCAAAAAATATATATCATTGAAATATCATAATTCTCAAATTTAAATTGCTATTCACGTGCATGTAAATCAATGGTTTCTCTAATATTATGCCTTAAATAGTTAATTAGAATAATAATTTTTACTAAATTGTAGAAAAACTTGTTGCAATGCCAGTTTTTTTACGTTCATAACATGCAATCTCTAAAAAAAAGTGTCTCATCATTACATTAAATGCTATAATCTTCGAGTATTATTGAAAATTCTAATAAGTATTTTTATGGCAAAAAGTAAAACACTTTAAATTCCAGTATAAATATTTTAAAGCTTGTTATGTATTTTCCAGACACTTGTACCTCTAACTAAATAGTACCTCTAATCTATTTTTTTTTCAATTTTAAATTGCTATTAAACTAGTTTAAATTATAATGTAATATTACAGTCTTGCAACTGCTTTGCGAATCATTTATTCAAAATGTTTTGGAAGTCACAATTTCAAATTAGATTTTAGTAAAGTTGAGGTTTTCCTAGTTTTCTTTCTATATTTGAGCTTTATACGTATTGAAGATTGAGTATGATCTCTTAAAGACTCAAAGTAGCTCATTCATCCATAGAAACTGTTTTCGATGTTTGTTGTCCTTAGATTACTCTGATACGTTCATTTACTTTGTATGACGCTTTGAATAATATTTATAGATGTATTGGAGTAAATACAATTTATGATGTTAAATAAATCAATTATTTTTAACTTTATTGCGTATTCTATGCTAATTGATGTGTAATACAGATTTAAGTAATTTCTCTCTGCTAAAAAGGAAGCGTTTACATCGACATAATGTATCTTTTGTAGAAAATCTTTTTATACATAACTGCTTTTAAAATTTTAAAATATTTGATTAATCTGCAATTTTTTCGTTTAAATTAAGAACTGGATTTTAGAAAATATTCAAATTAATATAAATTATTTAAATGAATTAATAATTCTGAAAATCATGTAAAAATGTTTATACTACACTTGTTGTAAACAGTCCTTTCATATTTTTCTAATTAAAGTAAACTCACTTTGAATGCAGGATGAATCTAAATGCTCATGCATATTGCATTTATTTTCGGAAACTCTTAAGTGTTTAATGTAAAATTTTTAACGAGAATAAACTTCATAATATCAAAACCATTTAAGGTATTCTATGCAATACAACTTATTTCACATAAATATAACGCGTAGTGTAAAAATACAATAAGTGATATTTCGGAGAATTATTTAAAGCAAAAAAAAATTATTGAAAAGCAGTATACAACATACTTTAAATTTAAATTTATTAGATTTTTATTCAGTCATTTTGTTTTTATTTTTTTAAATATCATGTGTGCAAATTGTGCATTAATTAGTAAGGATCTTACTTTTGTCCTAAAAGTAGATTGGAAAAACTGCAGAATTCTCAGTAGAACTTTTTTTTCCCTCTAACTGAAGGAAAATTTAAATTTTCTTAGTACATATATCCCAGTTATTAGACTATTCTGTCTTATTTGATCTTTCAATTTGGAAATTTCGGTAAGATGTCTTAGTTGATAAAATATTAAAATCTCTAAGAAAAAACAGCTTTATTTCGTTACATTGAATTTCCAAACATTGATGTAAATATACAGGGCTGAATGCGAGTCTCCTATCCTGTATATTTGCATTAGCCAACCGGCTTGTGTAGGGGTTAGGGAACTGCCCTTGAATCAGAAAGGTTCTTGGTTCGAATCCCGGGCAAGGCATGGATGTTCTTTCTCTCCCTGTACTATCTGTCCTTACTGAGGGAGCAGCATTGGCCCGCCTAATATGGTGCCCCTGAAACAGTGGCCAACAAATCTGACCTTCAGATACCTGTATGACCTATCCTGTATGACTGTATGGTCATTCTCCAGGTGGGCATTGGAAAGAAAAACATTTGTACCATTCTCTCTTTAAGCAGGTCATTCAGTAGGAACAGATACAATCTGAAAGGCTTAAGAAATTTTAGCTCTCTCGCAGATTGCAGTAAATTTTGAAGGCTTATACTTATCGTAGCCTTAAGATCAAGTTTCTACGTAAATGTACCAAGTGGCACAGATTAATTTTAACCTAGCTCAATTCACTAAAAACGCAGGTTAGTTTCAGTCCTCCAAGAATGAGATTGGTAAAGAAATTCACTTGTTTTCTAGCCAACAACAAGTCTATGGAAAAAAATATCTGCAAGTGTTGGCTATTCGAGTGTCTTCCGAATATCATATTCCCTACCCATTAGCCATTACGGTATGGGATGAAACAAGGTTGGTCTATCAGGTTTATAACTTCTGATCTAATACATTATCTAATACATTCTTATATCATCCACGCAACTGGCTTTTTGTATCAATATGTTTCACTATAAGGAATCATTTCAGCAAAAATTTATTTCAAGAAATCAGAACGTAAAAGGCCTTTCCAACGCTATTTTTAAAGTCTCAAAATTTGAATTTTATCACATCGGACAACGTATTGATTCAGTCAAAACTACCTGAACGCCAAATGTCTCACTTTCGCTAAATTGCGGTATTGGCAATTTAAGTAAATTCATGGGTTTTCCTAGCACATGTACTTTAATGGTCTTAATTTAATTTCCAGATGAACCAATCCGATGCACCTGCTGCTGATGAATTTAACAGCATTGAACCTGTAGATCCAGACGATCCTTTAGCGGTTGAAGTAAACGTCGATGGTGAATCTCTTCCTGCTAGCCCTCGACGTAGAAGATATGCCGAAGCAAGTCCAAGGCCATCAGCTACCAGAAGATTTTTTGATTTTAGTCACGCCACCCGGGGACAGATTTGTCTTAGAGTCGCACAATTGAATGGAATCTTAATCATCCTACTGTTTGCAGGATATGGATTCTACAATTTCGTTATGGTGTTAATCAGCTATTTCGCTAAGCCCTAAATACGTCTTCATGTCAACTTCCGGGACAGCAATGTAAAGAAATCTTTTGTATTTTAACATTTTACTCTCGGCATTGTTTGATTTTTGTATTTAGTTCCTAATAAACGTTTTTGATTTTCAATTTCTTTCATTACGTAGAATTTTGGAGGTAATTGACTGAACTTGCCAATCTTTATTCAGCATAATAATTTGCCAATTATTGCCAGAATATTTTGCCAATTATTATTCAGCATAAATAATTGGCATCATTCTAAAGTGTTCTTGTATTATGGTCTCATAATTTTGAACAAGACAGTCGAGTGCCATATTTTTATTCGGGAAAATTGCATAAAACTAGGTGTATTTACAATACATGTATTTATTAACAATGTTTGGGTAAATGTTCACCTTGTATGTTGATGTGCTGACGCCTAAAAAAACTATTTCTATACACATTACAAATAGTCCAGTACTACAATCTAGTACAAAAAATAAACATGATTCCGGGAATAAGAAATAGATTGAAGTCGTTTTGGTACGCTAGTTTCAAACACTCCAGCCCGGAAGTATCATGGGCACCAGAAATAGAAGGCGGAAATTCCCCCTTTTTGATGGGAGAGAGAAGGAAGGGGTGGATAATAGCTTAACATTTTTAAATTAAAATGTTAATTTTGAAAACTGCATGATTTTTTAAAAATTAGATTTGTAAAATTTTGTAAAAATATTAAAGTTCAGAAAAATCTAATTTCTGTAATTTTAATATTATAAATATTTACATATTCATCTAAATTTTTAAATATTTACATTATCAATTAAAATAAAATAAAATTTACATTTTTCTAAACACATTTTGAGTTTAGTGAATTTCGATACAAGCAAAATCCGGTTTGCATTTTAAAAATTTATATCCATTGCTTGAGTTACTTTAAGGTATTCCGATCTTAAGGTATTCCGAAATAATTGAACGTTTTAAAGATTTTGAATGAAATCTTTAGAGCTTAATACAGTGATAGTCTTGACTCATTAGTATATCTAATATCTTCGCCAATGTCTTATCAAAATATTTTGCAGTTGCAATTACACTTTAGATTTAACTTTCTTTTTCAAGGGATTTACTTTTTGCATTGAAGAATAACAAGAATTTCATAAAAACTTTGAAGTACCCTTCGAAAGTTTATAGAAGTTTCCAGTCATAAGTTTATTTTTGGTACACTTTTTGTGGGTTTTTTCGTGACTTCATTCTAAATAATTAAAGATTTGAATAAATCTTTTGTGAATTTCGTGTTAATTGAAACCAAAACAGAGTCAAACAGTTTTTCCTTCTGCTAAAAATATTTATCTGTTCAAGTTACATCATTACTTAATTAAAATAGTTATGCTTTTAGGTGAACAAAAATTTTGAAATTCACTTTACTAGTCACGATAAAAGACCCACCATATTTCCGTGTTTTGGTTCATTAATTCCCTGCATCTGTGTTCATTTTACTACTAATGTTTTTTCGTTTTTAAACTAGCCTTGTTTATTGGTCATTATAATTACTGAAACTATTTTTAGTCCAGCTTATTATGCATTTACTAACGATTCATACCTTAACAAGCAATAAGGATTTAGTCTAAAAATTGTACTATTCTATTGCATTTTAATACTGCCTGCTCTCTGGATAAGACCAGGCGCTACCCGGGTTTGCTCTCACCCCCATGATACGAGTCTATGCTGGACTCGCAAAAGCTGCAGTGCAGCGGTGAAATAAGAAAATTATCTCACATGTAAATTACATACATAATTTTCTCAAATTGTAGAATAAACTAGAAATGCCTGCTACTTTTTCATTTGAAATTCCAGTACGTCTAAATTTGCTGTTGTAAAATAAGTACCCGGTTACCTCACTAGTGGGATAACACAGGGTTTATATGTAACTTTGGGGAAGGGGTGATTTTACTTTTTCTAGGAAAAAAATCTTTTATTAAAAAAAGTTAATTCATCGCCGAATTTATACTGTAATGAATGATATGCTGTACACAACTAAACGATGAATATAGTGTTTAAATCTGACAATTTCTAGCTCTACACAAGAGAGGGATCTTTCTATTTTAATTTTGCCTGCATTTCTTCTAAATGTTTGATTAATTTTGACTGCATGGACAGAATGAATCTTTGGTTACTCGACGCCATGCCATGATAGTTCTGCTGCTGGGTTCTTCCGTTATAGTACGGTGCAAAATTAGAAAATTTTACTACAAGTACTAGTTATTGGCCTGTAGTAAAATTTTTAAGAGTTTCCACTTTTTTTCAATAATTGAAAAAAATAAGCTATAAATAAAATGTTGTAAGGCTTTAGAAGTATTTCTCAAAATATGTTAATCATTACGAGGTTCATTTCTAAAATTAGAAAAAATTTAAGAAATAAGAGTGAAATAAAGTAGTTTTCAAAATATTATAAAATATTCATATAAAATATCTCTATTCATTAAAAATAATAATGTGCACATGAAGCGCATTGTCAATGAAAAAAATATTGATATGTAGGTGACTGGCAGAAAATCTTTTAATCACCAATTGTTATATTTTATTGCCCTATGAACAGTGACGACCTATGCGTTATAGCACATAGGAATGCACAATAAATTCGAAACTCTGGATACTTTTAAAAATAGTGTAAAAAATAAAGACTATAGCAACGGTGAAACTTTATTACTTTATTATTATATCATAGAAGTCACAACTTTTTTTCAAACAAAATATAATAACACTAGAACAAATAATATTTTTGAGCAAGTGGTAATACTTCCGATGGTTCGCAAGTCAAGTGTGACCACACTTTTTTTCCATTTCGGTTCTCTGCAGCATAAACCTTAAATGTTTCTGGATCAACTATGAAAACAAAATAATTGCTATTAAAAAATGCAACCTAATGAGTCTACGTTTCCTTAACTTTTGAAAATACAACGTGCAGTTTAACGCATCTGTTCATCTCTTTCTCAATTTATTAGAATTCGAAATCTTATGGTTATCCAAACTAATGATCCTCCAAGCCTTAAAAAAAACTTTACTTATGCTTTTTATCAACCTTAGGAGTTCTAAGACTCAGACGGGAAAACGATATAACTTTTAAGGATTAATATGTTCTTTGGAAAATTATATTCTATTGTATTAAGGCATATAATCACGTTCATTGTAGTGTATAATAACGTTAATAAATTAATACTGTTAATTTTGTTGTAGATTAATTAATAGTTTTAATTTTGTTGTTTTTGATAACAATTGGACAAGCCAATCTCATCATCAACCATTGGCCTTATGAGAATTTAGTAACGAACATGCTCCTTTCTCTTGATAAGAGAGCACCCCAAGGATGAAAGTACGTTTTAACTCAGGTATCCCACCGATAGATGGCAGCCTTCCTCATTTGTGAAGACAAATCCCTGTACCCATGGTACTTCTCAGTGACCAACCACAGGATTTTTGATTCCACAGATTTTTCAAATACGTATATTCGGACCGGAGTACGAACCGCCGGCTACCACTGCACGTTAATTTCATTATGTATCTACACAAAACTTGCTCAACTGCTACAATCATAAATGGTTACTGGTATGAAAAAAATCTTTAATGTAATATATATGGAATACCGTTGCAGCTTTTGAAATATAGTAGATCGGTTTTATTAATTATAAAAAAAAATATCTGATATTTAAAGGAAAAACTATTACCTTTCAGTTTGGGCAGCGTATCATTCAAAACCATATCAGCTTTTCCAATTTTCCTGCAATTTTCAATTGCTATAGGAGTTTTCCCAATGCTGTATTTTTGGACGATTTTCTTTTCAAGAGAAGCCTAAAAATATTTATTTATCATAAACCAACACGAATACACACAGTTTTACGTACTTATAGAAAAGTTGTTATAGAATAATTAAAGATGTAACTAAACAGTAATATAGCCATTTTTATACGACCTAACATAGAAATATTGTAAAAATTTTGATGTATCCATACTTAATATGGTTAAGTAGAAGAATTTACTAACTATATACAAATAATCATAGACAATAAGCTTTTCATACCTTTGAAACGAACACACATGAGTTTCTCTTTGGTGCATGACCATGCGCACCATACATTTCTCTCTGTATTATAGGCTCAACTGTAGGAATTGAGCCACTCGGCAAACCTATAATGCACAAAATAATAAAAGTACTATTAAATACTACTACTGTCAAGCAAAGTCAAAAGAGGCGCTTTCAATGTCAACTTAAAATTATTCTCCAAATTTAATCATCCCTGGAACTGTTTTTTATTTTTATTTTCCACAATATAGTTGCTATAAATTAGTGATAACATTCTTCCTCTTAGTTTGAGTATAAAAAAGTGCGAATGATATTGAGAAGTCTAAACTATCGTCACTTCACTTACATGTTCACTGGCAATTCATAAATGAGCAATCAGCTACAGAAAGCAATTAATAAGAATACGTTTCCATTGGGATGAGAACATGCATCATCCAATAGAAATGGTGTAAATGACGATTGATTAATTTATTCCACTCATTGATATAATTCAAGCTCCAGCTTCAACATAGCTCTATACCTATTTTTACCAAATGATGTGGGCTGAGATAGCCTGGTGGGAAGGGCGTTGGGCCCATGTCCAAGAGGTCGCGAGTTCAATCCGCCAGCCGAAGATTCCCGGTGTAGTAAAAGGAGACTTTTGCACGTTGGATCTGACGGATCACAAAGTCCTCCCCGTTCTTAAAACAAATCATACCTCAGGGGGTAATTAGTTGGAGATTGATCATTCTCTGATTCGGTTCAAAATTGCGATCTGTGAATAAATAAATAGATGTATGAATGGGTCTGTCCTAGAAGCGGGTTGTGATGTAATTACGTGCGGCGGAAGTCGAATTCCTGGCCATAGATGGCGCCACTGGAAAACAAGAAGAAGCGCATCCCCTTTGCCTTCATGGCATACGACAACAACAACCAAACGGTGTCTCATTCACAGTCTAATTTATTCGGATAATTGTTCATCAGATTTTCATGTATATTTCGTTCCTTCTTAAATATTAAGATGGGACCACTAACGCTTATGTATTTCTTATTACATTTTTACGATGGACTTTTCACCTAACCTAATTTTCTGCTTTCAATGTTTATACAAAAATTGTCACTGATGAAAGACATTTTTCTGCCGATTCAAAAACCAACCTACTTCAAAAGGATAATTTATAATATGATTAAATGATTTTGATTAATAATAAATGTTAATTAAAAAGTTTTAATGAACGGTATAGATTCCAACTTACCCATATCAGACCAAGCTACGTCTCCTCCTTTAATAATCATATCTGGCTTAACACCGAAGAATGCAGGTTTCCAAAGAACTAAATCAGCCATCTTACCAACCTACAGACAATTGAGAGAAAAAAATTATCCATATAAATAAATTTGCATACCAATTGAAATCTTTGTTTGCATGAAAGGATAGATTAAAAAAAATGGTTTTTAACTAAATTTTAAACAATAAATAAGTTTTCAAGGGAAGATTTTAAGTATGAAAAATACGCTAAATGGATGGTTTGAGCTCAACTACTGTTTGCTAAATTTACTCCGTGTTACCTTCTATATTGTTTGTTAATTTTATGTTTAGATCGTTATTTATATGGTAAGAAGTATACCGCCGAGCAATTGAAAAAAGCAATATAAATGCCTCCAAATAGATTTCGAACAAAATGGTTTGACAAGACAACTATTTTTATTCTCGTGCCAGTGCTATCAGCGCCAAAATAGAATTTTAGAAATCTGATTTTAAAAAATTTAATTTTCGGGAAAAAACTATTTTTGCAATAGCTATCAAATAAATCTTATTATTCAAAAATACAAAAATACCAAATGCCAAATAATACGAAAATGCAAGCATGTAAAAAAATTGTGTGGTAGTATACGCAATATCCATGACTGAACTGGTAAAAGAATGAATTAATTGCTGATTCTACTATTGAAAGAATTGTTTTAAACCGCTTTGAAGATTTTCCAAAAAATGAATAAATTTAATACGAGTAAAATTATTTGACTTCCTTTTTTTAGTTTCTCTACTTATTCGTGATATTTTTTGTAGTATTGTTTCGTTGATTTGTGAATTTGTTTGTTTTTTTAACTTTTTGCTAAGTTTTTTGTTTGTGTGCTTTTCGCATGGGTTAATTTTAAATATTTAGTGATACAACGGTGAAAAGGTGAATAAATTTTCACTGGGTTGAAAATATGGTGAAAAATACACAGGAGTATTTAAATTACGTTGAATTAAAAACGTAATTTGTATCTTAAAATGTAAGATTTTTCAAAGCATGACATTTGATTTAATTTCTATAAATACAAATTCTGATACGAGACATGACATGAAATTTACATAGCTAAATTTCTACGAAATAAATTAACTTTACAGCCAAATAATGACTTGAAAAAGCATTTATTAAACAAAAATTTTATTGGATAAAAAATCTTTCAAGCTAATGTTTCGAAAGATATTTTAACTTTAAATTAATTTTCGTTAATTTTCGGAAAACTAAAATATACTTTGTAGTTAATTGAACAATGGATTCAATACAGTTCTTGACTGAGAGACAGGTTAAATTCCACAGTAGTTAATTAGTTTGTAGACTAACTTACAGAGCCTCGCCTACATAGGTCACAAAATCATTAAATAACCTAAATCCGTAAAGCGTTTAAGAAAACACTAAACTAAGATATTTTAGATGAAGCAAAATGGGAGTATAGTTTACAATAAGAAAGAGCTTCTAGCTGCATTCAACGAAATTTTCAGACATGCAATTCTTAATTCTTACGTTGTGACTTATCTCACCTTAAAGTAAAGAAGGTTGCAGTTAAAAATCATTCTGCACTTTCTCTTAGAAGATGTAGGTTGATACTGAAAAACTTATATTACGAACGTATTAATGTATATCACTTACTTCAATGGATCCAATAACATGAGACAAACCATGTGCTATGGCAGGATTTATAGTGTACTTGGCTATATATCGCTTTACTCTGAAATTGTCATTATTTGTTGAATCTTCTGGTAGAGGACCCCGGACTTTTTTCATCTTATCTGCTGTCTGCCACGTACGAATTAGAACCTCGGCCATTCTTCCACTTGCCTAATTAAAATTTTCATTTATAGTTTACTTAACTGTTTATATGTTTATTTAACACAAAATAATGATGAAATTGAATCCTAGAAACCAACATTAATAACATAAGATTAATTAAAAACTTCCTTAGCTCTAAAAATATGCAGAAGAAAATAAAAATCGACGTGTGTCAAGTGTTTAAAACTAGGCGCTCATTCTCAAGACTTACCAGACTTGGATAAAAAGAAACAAGAGTGATTTGAATTATAAAACGAAAGTTTCTAGAAAAAAGATGAAAATAAAGGGGAAAATCAGATTTGATTCTCACCTTTCCCACCGTTGATTCTCTCCAATTGGCAACTCTATAATGGCAGCTTTACGTTTTATTTTTCAAATCAATTTGGTTTCTTCTCATTCACACCTAATTCAAGTCTTGAGACATGTCAGATCTATTTTCATCAACATATTTTTGAAGCCAATGAAGTTTTTTAATACAGTAGTGTCGTACCACCTTAGTTTCATGCGATTATTTTTTTAAAAATAATATTGTGTTATTCATTTTGCTTAAAATATGACATTAGTTTTCTCTTCATATTTATTTTAATTTAAATTTCTGAACTTCAACATTGAAAGGCAAAGATTTTTGTACGTGTAAATCCAACAAATATATTAATAAAATTACACTTTGTAAGTTATTTTGTTATTAAATAGTTATTTAATTATTTATGTGCCCAAATAATATGGTAGAATTGTATAAAGATTACGATAGTACTAAACAAAACAGATTAACAAGTTCAAATATCGTTTATAGCTAGAAAAAAGATAAATTTTCAAGCGTTTATTTGTTTATTTATAAATCTATTTAAAAATCCTTCTCTTTTTCTTTTGAACTCATCATTTCTTCACAAATACATTGTAATAAACCATGCTCAACAACAATCTAGATAGGCGTTCGGTGATGCAGTTGCAAACACCGTAAAAGGAGTTAACTTTAGGTTAAGGGAGATTAATTTCTGTCGCACGCCATTTTTCTTTTTTCTTTTTTGGAGTTCTATGGCATTTAGTGATAGTTGTGAGCAGTTGTGAAACAGATGTTCTTTCTTTAAATGCAAATTCGTGTTGATCTACAAAAATTGTCGTTTGATGGTATTTATTTTACTGTTTGAGCTTAATATCGAAAAATCTAATCTGGATTACATATATGTGTGGTATTATTGATTTTTTAAGATTCCCAGTATAATGAGCGTATATTTTCAAAGAGAAGTTTTTATATCATTTTTATTACACATATAATGATCACTTTGGCGATGATTTTGTGCTAGTTTTTAGTTATGCGTTGAATAATCATGACTGAGAAGGCAAATTGTTTTGGATTGTTTTTGTTCTGAAATCCCAATACCAGAAGTAAAGGTTAGTACAATAAAGCACTCTGAGTCAATTAATAAACCCCAGAATCCCATCAAGCAAACATCCAGAAAACATTATGCACAACTGTTACATAATAGGACAGTAACCATTGAGAGTGATGAAGTACCAATTCCTATTCTGAAATCAAATAAAAGCAATATATTGACACTTGGTCAGACTATCAAGTAATGTCTAGTATAAGAAAAATTAAATAAAAATAGATTCCGTGGACAAGAAATATTTTTTAATAATTTGTTTGATCTTGATTTAAATGTTTCAATACAACTGATAACGATATAATTTGTAATAATGAAATTAATAACAATTAGTAGATTTAATAAGTAATTGTTTACTTTATAATAACAAATTCAATACGTTTATGACAAGTTATTTTTTTCTTCCAACAGAAAAACTAATAAAAAGATCGAATATTGAAAAATCGATAATATTTTTAAAAATATATTCACAAATTGAATAGAATAAAATTTATTTCGTAAAATAATTGTAAACTCCATAGTCTATTATGTTCTAGAACAAAGTTTTATTCCATTTTAAGACAACAAAGTAGGTAGCTCTAAGTCACCTCACCCTATTTGGTGGTTTTGCCCCCCAAAAAATTAAATTCTCCCTTACCATATTGAAAGAATCAGCCTCACATTTAAAAGAAAATTGGACCTAAAATGTAAAATATGTTTTGTGAAGTATGGAAATGTCTACGTAGCAAAAGTCACCCCATTTTACTGTGTTCATAGGAATAAAATCTCTTAGGAACTCTTCGTAAAGTTGTACAATTTTAATTGGTAGATATAAAAAAACGTATGTCAGCAAAAATTTACCTGTGCATCAGATGACATTATGCTCATTGCTCCCATATCATGAAGAATATCTTCGGAAGCCATAGTTTCTCCTCTAATTCTAGACTCAGTTATCAGCAAATCCTCTTTGTTGTTCCTGCGAACGATATTCAAAAGGTCAAAGAATATTTCAAACAGTAAATATTATTCCCAATATTTTGAATGATATATGTTTATAAATCTGCATTGATTTGCTAATTATAATAAACGTGAACGAAATTTATGAAAAAATTATAATGATCTATTTACTTCATGGTGACGCATGGAAAAGGGGATACTCTCAACTTTAGAAAAAAAGACCACTAATTCACTAACACAGGACGGTATGACCTCAGGCTGGCTAAAATCAAGTTAAGTTCCTCCACATAAGTTAGGATGTTAATTAACGGGAAGTTAGTCAAATTAATGCCGTATCGCATATTGAATTTGTTAAATATAATTTTTTTTCTTGTCTACATCTTTTATTTCTCCTTGATTAATTATTTGCTTATGTATTTTATTTTAACTGTGATTACTTTTATTTTGTATACCATGTAACTTTGTTAATTATTTGTTTGCTTTTTTATGTTCTGCTTGACTTCATGCTTGTCTCTTTATTAAGCAAAAAATAAATCAAACATTTCAATGTGGAATAATATAGACTGTGCTTCTTAAGAGAAATCATGCTTGATATGTCAGGCTTACACGAAATAAAATGGAAAAAAACAACTGCTAACATGAACAAATACAGCGTTTCAACAACTAATCAGGGTCCATATCTATGATAATGTCACTTGCAGGTATCCAATTATGTGAACGTAATTCGATATATATTCGATTCAGGTCGTCATCGTAGGTAAATCTTGGCCTTATTTTGATTCAGAAGCCAATCAGGTTCGACACAAACACGCGACGCAGCTTACATGTATCCAATTAAATCTAATTTAAATCTCCTCGCTTATTCTCGAGTATTAAGTTCCCAGTTACCTTATTTATTAAACAAATAATATTCACGATAAAGCTAACTTTTGGCATTAACAATTCTACCTAATGGGTTTGCCAAATAATGCTGCATATCATTTAAATCGGGAGGCTTTTTAAAATTGAAATAAAGGAAGCACACCAAATATGCTTTAGAAAATAAGGCTTTTACTATACAATTGACAAATATATATCAATATTCACCACTTACATTTTTTTCAATGCAATGAGGATTTCACTTTTTATATAATGTCAAATTAAACGAAGATATAGTTAAAAGTAATTTGAGAATCTGAACTACAATTACTATCCGTATTACAATCATCCATTGTAAAAATAATGAAAATATAGCAACGCGATTCAATGGTTCTTAGTTCTGAAAAATACTAAACTGGAAATGGGAAAAAATAGCTTGTGAAAAAGTTTAATGTCATAAAAAAGAAAATGTTTCCTCAAAATGTTTACTTAAACACCACGCCAGCATATGCAAAGCTTAAAATTATAGTAAAAAATCATTATTCGTTTATTGTTCATGTTATTGGTATCATAATTACTACTCTTAAAAATTAAAAAAAAAGTAGTAAAATAAAGAGTTTAAATATTTCGATTCGTGAAATAATTATCGAATATTCATGAGTGAGGTATCACACAGGGATGGCATTTTCCGGAATTTTCAATTATAAAAATATTTATACATTTTCTTTAACGGATAAAATTAGAAATATTTGTAGACTGGGAGAAAACAAAATCAGAAATATGAAGAAGATTTGAAACAAAAATGTTCGAAACTTACCACAGAACAAGCCGTTTTTTTTATTTTCTTTAACAGCTATCAAAAATCTAAAAATCAATCTGTGAAGTATTTTCAATTGCAGCTGTTTCAGCTTCACTGGGTGCAACAGAGTCAAAATTAGTGACTTTAAATAGATTTTTAACAGTATCGAAAGTGACTAATTTAATATATTTATTTATTTATTTACTTATTTATTTACTTACTTAATTATTTATTTATTTACTTAATTTCTTATTTTTCTAATCTGATACGAATTTCTTAAGATATCTCTATTTTAAAGAATGCATGCCCCATTTTCATTTTGCGAACACAGCGATAGTGTACGAAAATACAAATATTTGTGTGCAAAATTGAAGTATTTTTTCTGTGAAACCAAATTTGCAATAAATATTAGGTTCCTTTTTAAGATTTTGAAATTGACTCCAACCGAACCCCAGGAAATGGTGTGGAAATGAAGAGACTTATCTCTTCATCTATCTTTTAAAAATATTTCATTCGGGCATTTTTAGATTTCTAATCTAACGCATATTTCGTGAGAAACTTATCTATTTCTATTCTTTTAGGCTCCCTATAAACTTCCTCGTAAGAAATGAAAGAATCACCAAAACGGTAACCTACTTATCCAAGTTATGGCAAACAAGAAGCATATCCAAAAATTCATCAATAGTGTTCTTTGTAAATGGTTTAGTCGGAGCAGTTGAGGATGGTATAACGTTGGGCTCACTACACACTCGCAGAATATCAGGTGCATGTCCACCCCCAGCCCCTTCGGAGTGGTAGGTATGGATTGTTCTACCTTTGAAAGCTTCGATTGTCTCCTCCACGCATGCAGATTCATTCAGTGTATCTGAATGTATGGTTATCTACAGAAAATATAATAGTTTATAAATTTAATTTTTAATGCTTCAAGAAATTACGTGATATTCTTTTTAAAATTGGAAAATATGAAACAGGTGTATGAACAGGTAAATATATAGCTGGAAAAGCAACATGATGTAAAAATTAAGCAAATTTAGAAGAAAAAAAAGTGCTGAAAGAAAAGTATGCAGGGTTTTCTGTAACCACCTCCTTCAATATACATTATTAAGGATTCTTCTCAAGAAAGAAGCAAAGAGTACAGATCTATACATTTTAAAGAGCGTAAATTAATGCTTAATTGAAAGTAAAAACAAAAATGCTATCGATATCTAACAAATTACAGCTAAGCTAAGCTGAACTAAAAGATTTATTCTACTGAGCCTTAGTCCCGTTGTTTTCCAAACTTTCAACTGCAGGTTTTCATGCAAAAAAAGTTTTTCTCACGATTTTAACGTGAAGGCAGTCAGAGAAATTACTGTACAATTTTACAGTGTGGCTCAAAGCTTAGAGAACTAAAAAAGCTGTCATATTTCTGGAAGAAACAATGGGGAAAAAAGAGGATTATTTAAAACACAAGTACAATTAGTCAATCAAGTTGTTTTCGGTGTTTCTTCACTGGAGATTCAAAAGATTTCGATGGTATTTTCATGGCTTAAGTACTTCCAAATCCCACTGTACAAATTTTTATGACTTTTCTTTGGCTTGGAAAATTATATGTGAAAAGTAGTGTTTAAGAAGCACCATACATAATTCTTTTCCTCTAAATTTCATTTTTAATGCTTTTTTTTTAAAAAAAAAATTCCAATCCTACGTGAAGGATACTTAATAGCAGAGATAAGATAAATTTTAAAAATACTCGATGGATTTCTATTCTTACTAAGGAAGCATAACTCTCAATTCAATTGGAATCAAAAAGAAAAAATTTCCCATGGAAATCATAATTTTTCTAAAAACATAATAAATTTTAAAACACCATCATTCTTAAATATAAAAGTATATATAGTTATGTATTTTATATCCTTTTTTCTGTCTGTTATGAAAATTGTAAAAAAAAAAAAATTCAGAGTTTTACATCATTTGAAAAATGAATTATACTGTGAGATAAATTAAATATTATTATTATTGTGTTTATTAAAATAGTTTCTAAATGCAAATGTCACACATCTTATGTGCTCAACTAAATGTTAAAATTGAGAAATACTATTTTCGGATTATTTACTTTGGGTAAAAAAATCTACATTATCAATCAAAATGCTTAATAGGGCTTGTCATTAAAATTCGAAAAAAATGAATTTAAAAAATGCGTCATGTTATGTAAACTCGAAAAATTAGTTACTTTTATGCTTATAATGAGATTTTTAAACCAGCCATAAAAATAGGCACTTGAAAATAATTCAAAAACAAAATAAAACTTAACAAGAGACTTTTTTGAAACAACTTATGCTTTTACGCATTCTAAGATAGAGATAAGAGAACTTAACAGCACCAATATTTCCACCAATTTTATTTTAGTATACTATTTGTAATTAACTTTAACTCAAATGACATACATTTGTTTGAAATTGGTAACAATATGTCAGTTTTGAAGGAATGTATGGAAAGTTACAATATTTAATTCCATTTTCTGTTTGGAGCCTTTGAAAAAGTTATTTTATAAATGAAAAGAAATAAAAGTCATTACTTTTCTTACTTTATTTATAACACCCAATTGGTAGCAGTTGACAAACTTACCAAAGAAAAACGGTGCAAAAATCCATATTAATTTATATCAAATAAGCTAATAGAATACTTTTTTACCTAAATTTTAAAAATATTTTAATGGACCCTTGCTTAAAATAAATGACTCGTCAAGGGGTTGAATAACATTTTAACCTTTACAGTCAACAATCTCAGGAAGTTTGTGTTTATACTTCTCAAAATGGGAAAATGACATCACCCAACCCCGTTTTTCAGTGCTCTACTTTTGAACTGCCATGGGGCAACTCTTTCTAGAGGAGAAAAGGCCTTCACACAATTCAATTAGGTAGTTCAACGTAACGAACATAAACTGCGCAGTAGGGTCCCGAAGACAGATATCACATCGGTTAGACCACTAGGGGATAGAATTCCTAGTTTATGGTAACCAGTGCGAAGTCCTTATCTCTTCTAGGAGTTGATGCATGGGGTCAGGGCTACATAATTTTGACCTCAGCGCATGAGCTGGTATTCCTATTTCTAAAACTGTCACACCAAAATTAGCGAGAGGACCTTCAGTTGTAAGCCTTAATGTGTATACACACCAGTTGTTTTTTTGATTTCCAGGATTATACTCACGACCCCTAAGCTCTCATCCTGTGATGGGAAAGTTGCCTTAATAGACTGCACCGGACAAAAATGTGTAGTTATTATAAAAATTAGAACGTGTCAAAAACGTATTGACTTATACAAAATATATTTTCGAGGTTCATCAAACAGATTTTTCCATTAATACTAACTACAAGCAATAACATTCGAGAATTACAAACAATGAACTTCGGGTTCGAATCCCTGGGATGAATGATTGATACGAACTCCGCATCCGGCTTGCACCAACCACAGTGCTGACATGAAATATAATCAGTGGTGGACGGATCATAGGTCAATAACATTCGAGAATTACAAACAATGAATAAGAGCCGTGATGGCTCAAGGGATAGTGCGTTCGCCTTCAGATGAGGTTAACCGGGTTCGAATCCCACCTATGGCTCGTCGATACGAATCCGCATCCGGCTTGCGCCGACCACAGTGCTGAAGTGAAATATCCTCAGTGGTAGACGAATCACGGGTTACAGTCCCTTTGCCGTCAGGCTAACCTTGGGAGGTTCTCGTGGTCTTCCTCCCCATGTAAAGCAAATGCGGATTACTTCCATCAAAAAGTCCTCCACGAAGACAAAATTTCTCCCAATATTTGATCCAGAAGTTCCCTTGTCTTCGGGATTGGGTTTAAAATTACAAGGCTACGGAGTTGAAGATTAGAAGTCATAAGCCCAAAAAAAATTGGGTCAGCTGTTCAACGACGTTTATTAAAAAAAACAATTATTAGGAGCCGCAATGGCTCAGGGGAGAGAGCGCTCGACTTCCAATAAGGTGAACTGAGTTCGAATCCCTGAGATGAATGTTGATACGAACTCAGCATCCAGCTTGCGCCGACGGCAGTGCTGACGTGAAATATAATCAGTGGTAGACGGATCATGGGTTACAGTCCTCTAGCCGTCAGGCTTACCGTGGGAGATTTTCGTGGTTTTCCCCTCCATGTAAAGCAAATGCGAGTTAGTTCCATCAAAAAAATGTCCTCTCCCAATACTTGAATCAGGAGCTCTCTTGTCCTCTGTATTGGGATCAAAACTACCAGTCTGCGGCGTTGTACATTAGTAGTCATAAACTCGAAATTGGGGAGACTTTTCAATGACGATTATAAAATAAAATAAAAACAATGGTTTAACACCTTTCTCTGACCGATCTAATTTAATGCTCTATTCACTTTCGATAATAACAAAACGCAAGAGACACATTCCACATCAATATTTCCAACTATGCAAAGTAATTTTGTAACTAGAAAAGGAAAACAATGCTGTCGTTCCGATTCATTGAGTTTCTGACAGTGTGTTACGGTTACACGGTAATCGTGTAGTTGGCATTCAAAAGGAACGTAGAGTGAAAAAAAAACGAAGAGTTTGAAACCCCCAAAACACTAGTACGATTTCGAAAGTAATCCTGTTAAATATTCATGCTTCACTAATGACTTCACTTCGCAATTAGCATTTCCTCCAATTTGTAGCTATCTAACATACAATGAAATAAGTCGACAGTTTCTTTGGAAACGTTAAATTAGAGTTCAACACTAATTAAGCTTAATTTAGCAATTTCTCTTTCAATACTTCTGAGAATCGCCTTCAAAGATAATTAAAATAGACATACAGATAGGTATTTGTGAATTGCTTATAGTTTTGGAATATTTATAATTAAGATGAACATTTAAGGAAGGTTTCATAAAATCTTAATTAAACTCCAATTATTGTGCGGGGGTGAAAACAAATCAGAAAAGAATTGTATGTTTTGCATTATATAAGTGACTTATTAACATAAATACCTCATTACGTTATATTTTATAGATGTTCCGCACGTTAATTAACCTTGAAATGTTTAAAAATTTTACAGAAGCATTTCTATTTACTTCTTAGAAGTATAAGTAAGATTACATTTTAAATTGGAGGAAGATTGCGTAATCTATTAATTAGAGATAAAGCAATCAGATTATAAAAATAAACCAAATCTAATATTATATACAATCACTGCAGAAACATTTTGTTTTGAGTAGAGGTTGCAATGACGTTTTAAATAGTTTCAAGAATTACGTTTTAAATGCCCTCTAGTTTGTTATGTTTGAGTTAAATGTTTGAGATGCGCTCTACAAGAGAGGAAATTCCTAGAAAATTAAAACTAAACAAGCTAGATTAGAAATGTTTCTAAGAGTTTTATTTCGCTTAAACTGATTCAGTAGACATTTAATGAATAGATTTATTATGTCTTCATTCTTATTGTTCATTTTCGGTGATTCCAACCTCGGACTCATTTCGTGGTTTCACTGTTATTGAGTAAACTTAATGAAAAATCCCACCTATTGTTTCTAGTTATGGAAAGTTTACATTTTAATTACTTAAACGTGGATGATTTTCAATTTTCCAGTATTTTGTTAGAGGTATGTATTACAATAAATGTTTTTGAAATATACTCAAAATTTTTGCTTCAGAAAAATTACTCTAAATTAAAAAATCACTTGAATTTAAAAATCATTACTTGAACATCAAAAGCATCTGCAACTTTTAAGGCACTGTCAATAGCTGATGGTGTGGAACCATAGTCTTCATGAACTTTAAATCTGGAACAATACAAAATTAAAAAGATACATTTCTAAAATAATGTATGTGTATTTTAACAAATGCAATAATTAAATTCAATGAGCTAATTTTCGTCTCTTTTAAAAAAGATTCAATTATTAAATATTTTAGACATGATTTATAATTTCTTTGTAAATAATGAAAAATTAATCCGTAAATTCCAAAATCGTAGGGTGTAGTTATGAAGCAATTTATATAGAATTTATTTTTGAGTAAGAATTTCTAAATTTGTTCTACCACCGCAAAGAATAGATTATAAGAAAATATTTAAATTTTTCTTATATATTTTATGAAACTTTATAAATAATATTGAAACATTTAAGTCGCTGAAAGGTCGCATTAATTCTGCAATAATTCTGATATTATGTTTCAATAAGTCAAATACAATGATTTAGATGATATTGTGCTGCCATCAACTCAGAGAGAAAGTATATTGTGGTTAGCTTGACAAAGGAAAACTGTCACTATTATAGTATATATATCATATTATAATAATATGATGTAATTATATCATATTATAGTACGTTTTGAAAATAAGATCTTCTTTTCTTTTGATGAGTTGCGTCTTTTTGAAGTTTTGAAAAAAAATAATTCTCGAAAACAAGTGCGAATAAAAATATTACCCTACTGCACCTGCTTCAATTTGTTCTACAAGCCCTTTTGATAAATTTTGAGTGTCAGTTGTGTTCCCTTTGCCTAAAATGAATAAAATACAATCGATAATCAGTTAAACGAATAACAACTTTTAAAGGAAGTATAAACTACACTGAAGAGTAAAAAAAAACTGGTATACCTGCCTAATATCGTATAGGGCCCCCGCGAGCTCGCAGAAGTGCCGCAGCACAACGTGGCATGGATTCGATCAATGTGTGAGGTAGTGCTGGAGATAATTGACACCATGAATCCTGCAGGGCTGTCCATAAACCAGTGGGAGTAAGAGGGGGTGGGGATATCTTCTGAACATCACGTTGCAAGGCATCCCAAATATGTTCAATAATGTTCATGTCTGGGGATTTTGGTGGATTTCCGATACTCACGGTATACTCGTGAAATGGTCGTACGTGAAAATCCAAATTTCATTGCTATCTCGGAGATGCTATGTCCCATCTCCCGTGCGCCGACTATAACACCACGTTCAAACTCACTTAAATCTGTATAACCTGGCATTGTAGCAGCAGTAACCGAACCGAAGAACTGTGCTAGACACTCGTTGTCTTATATACGCGTTGCCGATCGCAGCGCTGTACTTTGATTGGCTCCATACCATTTTATCTGCATACTCATGCCTGAACCAGTTGTTTTGGCTCTTCAGTGTATAAATATTTAGAGACTGAGAAAGATTTAAGGAAGAGGTATTTAACGAAACAATCCAAATTAAAGGTCTAAAAAAGCATCAAATAGAAATATAAAACTTTAAACATAGATTTTAAGAGTGATTTATCGAACTCCCTGCTAAGTAGTTCAATTATTTAACAAGAATTCAAAAAAATATATATTTACCTTTATACAGAAATATCTTTTTTACAAATAAAGAATCGTTAATTTTCCTAGCATTAAAATAACCCGCAAATAGATTTTAGATATTCAGAGTTATTAATAATAAGTAAATTTTTACGAACCTGTGAAACCAAAGTTCAATGGAAAATCATCTGTTGCTTCCATGATAAATCTAAAAAAAAAATGCTTAAATAAAATATGCAATATTTATCACTTAAAGTTAAAATCGAAGACGTTCTGTAGGTTTCGTAACTATATTCCAAATTGTACTTAATAATTCTCTGAAGCTTCAACTAAAAAATTTTTCGAATAACATTTGAAAAAGTCAAGGTAAATTAAATTGTTTTTTTTTTTCCTTTCTTTTTTTTTTTTATTNTTTTTTTTTTTTTTAAGACATTTTTAACAAAATTTTTAAGCATTAAAATATTTTTAAAATTCATAGATACCTAGAGTTTAGTTTTTTTTTTCTTACGCTGGATAAGTATGAAGAGAATTCAAAATTCATATACATCATATTTTTTTAAATTCAGATGTAAGTTTTATTTAATAAATTAGAATAGCATATATTCATTGCTACCACATACATTCATTTATCTAATAAAGTTTAATACAAAAGCATATTAGTGTATATAAGTTTAATAACTACTTTCAAATTGTTCTTACTTATGTTTTAAAGCTTCAACTGAAATTTTTATCGAAGAACATTTAAAAAATGGAGCTTAAATTTACTTAGAAAAATAATTTCTTTACAAAAAACTTTCCCTTTTAGGAAATTTTCAACTAAATTTTGCAGCTTTAAAATGCTTTCAAAGCTTATACATACTTAAAATTTATCTTTTTCCTTACACTATACATTTATTAGATAAACTCAAAATTCATTTATATCCATGATTTTTTTGAAATTCAAATGTAATTTTTATTTAATAAATTAGAATCATATACATTGCTAATCAAAATGAAACCTCTCATTAAACTTACAACTTATGTAGAAACAACCATTTTTATACATTTTTATGCATTCAATGATATTAAATAAAGATACTATTATCTTAGAAAAATTTAAAATAATTAATCGAAACTAAGTCAAACTCACCTATTTAATAATAACAATAATTTTACTTATGATTGCTTTATTAATTTTTTGTCAAGTTTTTGTTTAATATGAACCATCAAATTTGCTTAAATAAATCAGAAGGACATGTATAAATGCTTAGCATGATTTTAAAACTAAACTTTTGAGATACTTTTATATGGTTGGAAGCATCATTTAATTAAACTGATACAGGATCACACACATTAAAAATAACATTGAATACTCATGATTGTTTTATTAAAATAGAGCATTGTCATGTTTTCATTTCATTCTGAAACGTTCACGTTTATCTTCAATCGATAAATTCTATGTTTAATACAATGGACACACATAGCGATCAGCTGAAACAAGTTGAATCTCCAATTAATGCCAAACTGGATACAATGCAAACGCTCCGTAATGGAATTAAATCTTTAATCAATTGATTGAAATTGGTGGCTAAACATCGAATGTCTCTGGTTGGTTACATTTCAAATTTAGAAACTCCCTATTGGTCAAAGGCTTAACCAAAGGGTACTTTGAGCTTGAATTATCTAAATAGTTCAGCCAGAAAGCAGTTTACAAAATTTGATTATATTCAGGGGAATATAAGAGAATAGGTCATTGTAGTAAATTTACTATTTTAAGCCTCTTTTATAGTATACCGTAAATAAAACTATTTGTATAATTATTTCAAATAACTGCCAAATAAAGCAGTTTTGAAAACAGCAACTTCAGAAAATTTTCCTTTTTCTTTAGTTTAAGTTATAAACACGAATAAAAATATGTAGGAATTAAAACTTAAATTATTTTTAGAAAAGTATTTTAGAAAAAAAAACTGTAACAGACTGAAACTTGATGATTTGCTCCAAGTGGAAATAATTTTAAAGTATCTTAGTTAACCATAAGATAAATAAAGAAACTCGGAAAAACATCATACGTAACATTGAATTCAATTTTTTCTTCCCACAAGACTTAATTTTATTAATTTTGTTAATTAGTTAAGATTTTTTTCACTTTGAAATTTTTCATTTTAGAGTGCGTTGCCATGTTTTGTTGAATGACTTTATGTTTACAATTACGTGGAATGTTATTACCTTTTCAACAGGTTACACCGTCAAGAGGTCAAGCATCAGAAACGCTTAACCCCGTCCCGCCCCCTGTCGGGGGCATCCGGGGAGCAATTTTATTGATCAACTAAAAATACAAAAACAATTCCCAGTTTGAAAAACAAAGGGAAGATGAGTATTTACAATGAGGAATAAAAAGGGTGACTTGAATTCCAAATATAGATAGCAAAACAGATGAAAAGATGACTCCATCAACACAGTAACGAAGAATGTAAAAATGCAAGATATGTAAAAAGCAGATATTTGAACAGATGAAAAGTTAACTCGGTGTACAAAGTTATTAATTTTAACAGATGGAAAGCTGATCCAATACATGTATCAAACAAGTTTAAATGTGAAAGTAAGTACAGGTGAAATGTTAATTCCATACACAAAGTGTCCTATATTTAAATTATAAAACTCAGGGTAGGTGGAAAGGGAANAAACGTTGCTGCGCATGGACCTCCGCAACAGACGCCTGGTTAATGCACCCATGCTGACTGCTGTTCATCGGTGACGAAGGCTGGAATTTGCACGCCAGTACCGCAAATGGACGTCCACAGAGTGATAACAGGTGGCTTTTTCCGATTAATCGCATTTTAACTCCATGGGACAGATGGATGTTGGCGTATACGGCGTGAAACGTCTGAAAGCAAGCACCCTGCACCAATTGCCGGAAGGCTGCAGGCTGGAAGAGGGAGCGTTATGGTTTGGGGAATGTTTTCCTGGCATTCATTGGGTGCACTCATCATTGTGGAAGGCACTATGGATCAGTACAAGTACGTATCTGTCCTTGCGGACCACGTCCACCCCTACATGCAAATGATTTTTCGTCAAAATGATGGCATCTACCACCAGGACAATGTGAGGTGTCATACAGCTCGCAGTGCATGTGCGTGGTTCGAAGAACACCTGGATGAATTTACCGTACTCCCCTGGCCAGCAAACTCACCGGATTTAAACCCAATCGAGAATCTGTGGGACCACCTCGTTCGGGTTGTTCGCTCNCTTGGATCGGGTTGATGATAGTCATAAGCTGAGAATTGGGTCAGCTGTTCAGCGTCGGTTATAAAATTATAAAATAAAATGAGTGAACTGAGATTGGAGAGCTCGCTGCAATATTGAATGACCAAGCTACAGCTGATAAATTAGCTTACCATTTCCAGCTCGTATATATTGGTTGTCGTAAACTATATTGCTACAAGTTACATTGGTAGTCAAGAACTCAAAATTGAGTCTGCTGTTCACAGGCGATTGTAAAATATAAAATGAAGTAATAAGCACGGTCTGCTATCATAAAACTTAAATAAATTTTTAAAATAAATCTGTAAATTGAAAATTATTATTAGCTTGAGCATTAAATTTAAGTTGATTAATACAACACTTTATTTATTTACTACCTTAGAAATACTGCAACAATAAATACTGAATTTAATTAAAAATCACTAATATCTACTAGAAATTTGAAACTCTGATTCAGTATTTCATTAAAAAGTATCGGCTGCACATAAAACCATCGTTAAAACCTAATCAATCAGTCTGAAAATAAATTACAAGAAAGGTAATGAAATCAAAAATAAATAAATAAATAAAACTCAATTCATTTCATTTTCTAACAATCAAACTGATTTTAATGTTGTTAATTTTACTTTAAATATACCTTAATAACCATTTTTCTGTTTTTAATGATATTTGTTTTCCTCTATGAAAGATTATTATTCAATCTTAACTATATATTCCAACATTATTTTTTTCTAGGATCGCTAAAATATATTATAAAGTCGGTTTCAGAGAAATATTATGTCATAAAATAAGTAGAAACTGAACTAAAAAAAAAGCATTTTTCGAATATTTAATGAGCTAAATAAGATTATAAGGGAATATTTTTTAAGAATAAAAAAAAATTCCCCAACATATTATTTATTAATTTGGTCATTGAGTCACACAATTACTTTTAGGCTTACACAGTTTTAAAGAATAATTAAGAAGGAATAATATTGTTATGCAAAATATTGTAATAATAAGTAAATATTTCAACAGAAACTATTTTTTCGATGGTCTGTAAAGAAAGATAGAAGAAAGAAGCTAATTACTGCAGGCAATATTTGTTATTATGTTTTTTATTTTGCCAAAACTCTGGAGAATTCTTGAAATGATACTTCATCAATATTTGTTTCGACCTTTTCACAATTATAATTTGTAAAAGTTTTTTGCAACATCATTTAACGAGAAAATAAGCATTCGCATATTTTCTCTAAATTAATTTCAGATTAGTTTCATCTCTGTCACGCGATTTTAAAAAAATATGTAGGAACTGTTCGACTTATTTTTTTCACTTCTTCCTTGATTTCTCTTTTAATTTCTTTTTTGATTTATTTTTGGTTCATTCTTATTTAGACGTATAAATGAGATAAATGTAATTAACTATAGCCATTAATTGAAATTAAACACAAGCGCATTTTAATCAAATACTAAAACTTGCGCTTGATTGAAGAAATTCAGCTAAGCTTATATCTATTGCTAATGTAAAATTAATTTCTTTCACTTTAAATTAAGACAATAAAAAAACTATTTTTCTTAAAATAACAAAATTATCACGTAATATAATTTGATACCTTGATATTTCCATTTCAACATTTATGATTGAATTTTCATCAATTTATGATCAATTTATCAATAGATCAATTTATGATCTAAACTAATGCTTGCATTCAACCAAATTAGAACAAAACAGATTCCAGATTATTTAATGACAATAATATGGAGGTTAAACAAGCCTATTTACGCTTGATACTTTTTGTTCTTCATTTTTGTTTCAAAGATACTTTTCAATAATAAAAACACAATTTTTTTAAAATCAGGATGCCTCTCCCCCTGCACTCTCCGCTCACTGAACATCGAAATTTCTTCGTATTAATCATTATTTTATTTTCTCCCTTAAACGTTAATATTTTCACAAAAAAAATATATATATATATTTTGTTTGAATAATATACAATTACTGTAGCTTTATGTAAGACCATTTTCCTATTAATCAAAACGGAATAGACAATTACTTTTTGATCAAAATTGAACAAAACAAAATTTAACACGACAATTACTTTTTGATCAAAATTAAACATTACAAAATTTAACGTGACAATGACTTTTTAATAATCGAATGAACTTGAAAAAAAAATTTTAACCTAAGGAATACAAAATGTGTGACTGAATAAAAATAAATTAATGAGTTGTTTATTAATGAGTAATTTTACTCATGAGCAGATCTTATAAAAATTCAAATAGGGAACGGCTTTTATCACTCTTTATTAAGCTTTTTTAATTTATTTTTAAAATTTCACTAACTATAATTTGTGCCTGGAAACTCATGATTTCTCTCTCCCTCTCTTTCTCTCTTTATACTTTTGATTGACGTCTACTCGAGCTTATAAAATAAAGATGTAAAAATTTCGTGAGAAACAAATAAATTTCTATGACACTGGATAAGTAGATAATATTTGAAACTAAAAAGCTGAAAAATAATCATGAAAAAGCACTTAAATTTGCAATAACTATTAGAATTTTGAAATGAATTCGTGTTAAGTTCTCAAATGAAAGCGGCTTTTTCATCACGCTTTTTAGCATGTTTTAACTCCATAAATGCATTTCAGCGGGGAACAGATTGGCCAATCCCCCCAAGTTTAACAGTTAATAATTCTCGAACTAACTGTCGAATCTTAATTATTTTATTCCGTAGTACTGACAGTACTCTTTTCCACATAACACATTCATGCATAGTTCATAATACATTCCTGTACTTTTTACATTGTAATTTCAAGTTTTTAAATCTTATAGATTTTGTACAGCAAAGCGAAATGCAGCGTGAAGCAAAAATAAGCACTTAAAATTGCAATAATTTTCGAAAAAAATAACTGTGTGTTAAGTTAATAATATGCACAACCCTTTCAGCATACCAAAATTAAATTCTGCATTTTAATTCTGGTGGTCTGTTCAGCGTTAATAATTTCCTGTAGAGCCTCTATAGTTGACCTTTATATTTCTTAAATATAGAAAGACATAAATATAGTTTGATATGGGAATAAACTGAAGTTATTTCCCAAAACAATCCTTTATTATGCTAAATTGGCTTTAATTCCACTTTTATTCAAGTCTTCTATCTTAAAAACAATTCCTACGCCATAATAAACATTTTCTAAAGTTGCTGAAGCAATAAGAAAAAAAGGAAAGGAAAGAAAAAAACAATTAAATTACACAACTCGGAAGATTAACAATTAGTTTATTTCAAAAAGTGTGTGCATCTCTGTAGTTTCCTTCCTTTGGAAACGAAAAAAAAAACTATTTTCGATTTTAAACTAAGCTCTATTTAATTATTTCATGATTTTTTAACGAATTGCAAAACGATTATAAAAATGAAAACTCAAAAATGCTTTGTGTTCGACACGAGTATTGCAGCATTTAAATAGGATTATACAATTAAGCTTTTGATCTAATTAATGATTTTTTTTTACTTTTTACTTAAAGGAAGAACAATTTCTTATATCCCTTTTGTCTAGAAGAGTAAAATAAATAAACAATCTCTGATATAATTTTATTTGAGAATAATACACTGAGAAATTTTTCCTAATTCCTAAAAAGGCAGCAATATTTTTGAAAACTACAATTTTAGGTTATCAATGTTGTTTTTGGAATAATAATTAAGCCACATGTCTGCAAAAATTCCCTTTCTACTTTACAATAGTTTCATACCTATTTTTTCTTCTAAAGCAACAAAATGTTATGTCACCTTTTTCAGTGATATACTTACAATAAGATAAAAAGTTATCTTTTAATTTATGATTTTTGGTTACAGTTTTAAGCTGCAAGAGTTTCACAGAATATTTCAATGCATTGCAAACTTTTTATAGATGTGTAGTTTATAACTGCATAAAAAAACCATACTATAGATTATAAGGGTTATCAAATGAAAAGTGGATCGGTCTCATAGAGTTAGCAATAGAAGCGCGATCATTCAGGTTTATAACAGAACATATGAAAAGTGCGTCTCAAACTGCACATAATTAATTAACCAGTTCTCGTGTGAACATTTAAAGCGAATGTAAATTCGTGCTAAATGTGGATGCATCTAACCGAAAAACAATCCGAAAAGCAAGCTATAGTACACTTTTTATTGCCAGAATGTGAGCCTATTTTCAATATGCATTAGCAATTATTGACGAGATGCAGAAGTTCTGTTTTGGACTGATTGTCGTAAGCAAATGGTACAGAAGTTTTCATGAAGGGATGCCATTAACTATGGATCTTCCGAAACTAGAATAAGAAGACATCTCCAACAGATCCATTGCTGCTATTGATAAAACGATTCGAAGCAATAGAAGAGTTGCTATTTTTTCTCTATTGGGATGAAAGAAATGGTCAAATCACCATTTCTTTCTCTTTCTAATCTACCTTTCTTCTCTTTCTAATTTCTAATATTTCTAATCTGCCTCTAATAAGAAATGGTGCAATCACCTTTTGTTTTGTTCTGGGTGCATCCATATTTATCACAACTTTACATTCTCTTCAAAGGCTCTCATGAGGAATAGTTACCAGTTATAGAAAATCTGCGGTGTATTTCCCCTGCATTTTTTTCTGAACTTGATTGGTAGCGTTACTATAGATGATGTATTTCTGAAGTGAATTTAACTCATGTCAAATTTTTATTTGCTTTGTGTTTTAATGCCTGCATTGTATTAAAAGAGTTTTAATTGGAATTAATAATACAATAATATACAAAGTAGAGTAATTGATCATTCTAAAACATATGAAATAAAATTTTATTTTGCTTACCTTAATGCCGATATCTGCTTTCAGTATTCCTAATTTAGCATCGATGATAACGCAATTTGTTATCACAGTATCCAAAACATCACGAGCTCCAAGCAACGCAGCCTGTCCCATTCCATCTCTTATAACCTGGTTGGTTTAGAAATGTTCATTTAATAAAACAATTTGTACATAAGTTTCGTTGAAAACAATAAAAGAGAATTAAGTCTCTGACTTCACAATTGTTTTCTTAGTTATTTTTAAGCATGAATTATGGAGAGAGAAAAAATTATAAAAGAAAACTTTTCTTGCAAAGATTACATACTTTTCCTCCTCCAAATGTGCATTCATCGCCATATACTGTAAAGTCTCGTTCTATTTCAATTATTAAATTCATGTCCCCAAGACGAACCTTAAAAAGAATGCATAGAAATATTAAGTATGTAATAAAATATGTTGTAACAATGTTGTAGCAATGTTATATCAATGTTGTAACAGCGCATACTTACGCATATTTTATAATTGTTAACCGATTTGGATTAAGTAATTTGAAAACCCATACCATATGGAAATTGCCATACTGTATGGTAATGACATGATAATAAAAACCAAATCTGTGGTATTTAAACAATTCATTTAGCAATTTTTCCGTTTATACAGTAATGGTTTAACGGAAGTTTTGGCTCTTAAAGTTATAGTTCTTATTACCACACATTTAGAAAGGAATACAAAATTGAAAAGTAAATTTAACCAAAGAAATGATTTTTATACTATGATCTAAAGTATCATGATAAAATAACCAAATTTTAACACTTTAACCAAACTTTATCACATATTATTCGTTTGTTAATTTTTCCAAAATCATAACTTAGTACTTCGATAAAAAATATGCGAGAATTTTGGCGTTCCTACAGAGACAGAAACACAGTTATTTATACCATATTCTGATAGTTTTGTTCATACTTTACTCAGTGTATTTAATAAAATAGCTTCAAACACATGACAATAAAATGATTAACAGCTTTCATTTTGCCATATCTTATTTTCGATAGTATTTTTTTCTCAGTGATGGATGATCTTTCATTAATTTTCGGTTGACCTTTTTTCCTGCTTGTGTGCGAAAGATTGGTAGAATAGAATAACACATCCTTAATTCACATTTTGTTTAAAAAGTTAAATTTCACTCCCTTCTACTCATGCCTCAAAGGAAAATATTAAATTCTATTTCTCAAAAATTCATCCAAAATTGCGCCAAATCGAGATTAAAAAAATACATCAACAAAGTGCAAACAGGCTGTCTAAACTGAGAAGAGCATTACCAAATGTGTTCTATAAATATTATAGTTATAACATGCATACTAATGAAAAATTAAACATTTCGTTATTTCTTAAAAAACGAAACTGTGACAAATGAACTTTTAATTTTTTTTCACTCGTTAAGGGATTTTTATAGGTATTTATTTATAAATTCTTACTTTATCTCCAACAGTTGGTCCATACATATTCATATAGTTATATCGTGAGAGAAGATAAGAGTCAACTGGTAAAAATGTATCCTAAAAATAAAATTTTTATTAGAATATTACTTTAGTTATAAAATTAATTTCTTCTTAAACGGCTTCTTCAATCTCTTAACAAATTCAACACGTGATACTTATCTCAAAATAATATATGACAACGTGATAACTGACATTAAAAGTAAACATAATAGCTGTTATTTACAGCTTCGTAATCTGTTAGCAACTAATTGAAAATGATTAACGATTTCTTGAAATATATATTTTGGTATGCTATTTCTATAACGTTGACCTTTACAGCATCTGAGATGGTGAGCGGTCAAAAGTTTTTGAAAAATAAATAAATATTTTTCTTGAACTTGCTTTTTAATGTAGTAAAGCAAGAAAATATTTATCTAGATTTAGATTATTTCCTGTTCTTATTTATTTTATCAATACTACTATCAAATAGTATATTAATCATTTTTTTAATTAGGTTATCAATCATATTATTTTGTGTTTATTAATTTTATTATTATTTAATTTTTTTAAATTCAATTATTCTAGATATGCACTTGTTATTCTAAATAACGTGAATCCTATGCACTTTCTTTGATACGTGGTACGTTTGATTTCCTAGATACGTGGTTCTGTGCTTTAGATTACGCCGATATTAACGCTTATCCAATGGGTGCTCAAGTTCAGAAGCTTTTTTTTATATTACTCATGGTCTGTTAAACAACATTAATTTTAATTTATGTGTTTAGGTCCTGAAGTTTTGTCGCTACAGTAAATATTTTGTAAACACCAATTTGCATAGAATATAACATATACCATATTTTAAGAGCCTCCCGAAGCAAATAAAATGTTAACTTAATTTGTAATTTTTCATTACTGAGAAAAATTTTATTAATAAGAATTTCAAAGCTTAGTCGCGATTTTTATGATTAAACTTTCATATATTTGTGGTAATTCTAGTTAAGTTTTAAAACAAAATTACGAACACATTATTATTGTATTTAAAGTATCCACTTAGTAAATACTGTTATCAATATTTGCAAAAGGTTTCCTGAAATTCTCCGATAATCATTTGCACGATATTCTCGAACACCGATAGTTTTTTTTTCCTTTTTTTAAGTTTATGATCATCGCCTGTTATATTCTTAACTGCTATTCCATACTCTAACGTTTTCCTAATCCTGTTTAATAAGAAGGGAATTTTCAGATCGATTGTAAAGCAATGCGGAAAACCAGATACCGAAATTTGAAATCAGATCCTAAGATGCGAAGATAAGAAAAATTCTTATTACGCCATGTTTAAAAAGAAATTTTATCAATTAAGTACAAATAATTACACTGTTTTTTTCCCTTAAAATGCACTAAATTATGCACTAAAATTCCTTTAATATGCACTAAACATAATATGCAGCCGCATAGTTACCTGCTTTTTATTTCCAAAACCTAGATTTTTGATTTTCTTCATAATGTTGGGTAAGTTGGAACTCAACATCGGTCCATCGCAAAGGTTGTTCCCACCGTAAATTTTCCTGGAAAAATATTTTATGACACAAGCTATTTTTTTTAATAAAGCATCGTTGAGACATTAAATCTCAACTTACTTTGCTCCTCCTATTTCTACAAGTGTAACAATTTTGCTTTCACCTGGTTCAAATCTTACAGCACTACCAGAAGGAATATCCTATTAAAAGTAGATTCAAAAAGTATAGAAGCATAAATAATTGTATATAATATATATATATATATATATATACAGTCAAACCTCG